TGACCGGTCATCCGTCGATACAAATGATATTCAGTTACTTTCTATGTCCTATCACCTTCAGAATTTAAATGATCATTCCAGCTATCTTGGCTAAATACTGAGGTGCGATACCAGGTTCTGTACGGTGGCTTCCGTTCATTTCTTTCGATTTTCGGGTTTTTCCAGTACGTCTCTAAATTGGGTAATTTGCCAATGAGCCAATTTGAGGAGGGTTTATGATGGGTAAATTATAATACGCATGTAAGTGGGGGGAAAAAAAAAAAAAAAAAAAAAAAAAACCAGTTGGGAGGAAACTTATTTTACACTAGAGCGCACTTTTGTTCGGCCCCTTGAATAGTTAGTTAGTATAATTTTAAGACATTCAGCGTCTCAGGCTATTAACGTCTTTACAGATAATTTTGAAAATGGGAGTATAAACGAAAATTTAGATTTTTAAATTAAGAGAGGTGAAGAGTTTTAGAAATGCACATGTAAAATATAGTATATACCTATGTGCGTAGAATACACGAAAAATTAAATATATCTACATATGAAAAATAGTATGTATGTGCGTCGAATACACGACAAATTTTATGAAAAATTAGCTGATATTTAAACCAGCTAATTGTGAGAGTGATCCTTCTTCTTAATGACATTGCGACTAATTATTGTCAGTGCCATGCCTAGTGATACTGATACATTACGTAAGATTTAGATTTAGATTTTAGGTACTTAATTCCTTTTCAACGCGATCTTGCTGTGACTTTGCACTACAAAAAAACGGATTTGCTCCGCTGTGCTTTATTCTTTCAGTCTGAATGAAATGAGAGATGCAAAAAAGAAAAGAAAGCTTTTAATTATACAGAGGTAGAATTAATTAATTGTTATTATATCGTACTTTGCCATTCTCTGGAGGAAATGAATAATTGATTCTATAAGCAGGTTTTTACGGTTATATTCAAGCGAATAACACGCTAAAACGTCTTTACATGGTTATAGCGAGCTTTAAAAATTTTTTAACGGTAAAATTATGGCTTAGAATTTACTTGGTTTTGTTGCTTTAAAGTTATGAACAGGCCGCTTACATTAGGAAGGGTGTACATACGATTGGTATTCAAAGAAGGCGAAGATCTCACTTGATAATTCCTCATGAATTCTGCATCCGAATATGACCTCTGGCTTATACCAGCGGTTATGAATTTTCCGACGGACCAAAGTTTTCCCGGAAAAACAAACTATTTGGGGGCAAATTCGATTTCCCAGAAAACTGACGCATTCTGAAGAAAATTGAGGTCGTATTAGTGGCCAAATGTAAGAGGCACACAAAGTTTCTTTCGAACGGCACAATTAATAATACGCATATTTGTCCAATGTAAATTTATTTATTTACTCGTTCTTTACAATATAAGTACGTCCATTTTTTTATTATGAACTTTCCCTCACGTCCCGACCAATTTGAGTGCGTGACAAGTTTTTTTCAGGGCCAAGAATCATTTTGTAAGTAGTGATGGCAATTCTTGGAAGAATGGCGAAAAGTTTTCAAGTACGGAAGGAGGGCGCCAAGATTAAATCCTTGAGAGTAGTTTCAACAATTCAGGTCGTCAACAATGATCGCTTTTAACATCGACAGATTCAGGTAGGATAGGTAGGCAACTATTCGTGCTCGACAGTGTATTTTGGTCTATACGAGGATTTGAAGGCGTTTTTTGTGGCGATCACTTGGTCGCTATTTCGTGCGTGTCGATTTTTCGAAATAACGCGCCGTTATTGTCGTGTTAATATTCCGCCGATAAATAAGTGCATAAACCTCTCCACGGTGTATGGAACTCACGCACAAGAACAAAATATGAACACAACAATGAAGGTGGATATTTCGGGAAAGCAGCATGTATGAAAACAGCGAGAATTTGACTGCCACAGAAGGCGCCTTCAAATTTTCATATACGCCAAAATGCACTGTCGAGCACGAATAGTTGCCTACCCTACCTGAATCGGTCGATGTTAAAACCGAACCTGGATTGTTGAATCATTACTGAAAGATTCTCGAGGATCTTGGAACTACCCTTCCACGTACTTACGAAAAACTTTTCGCCACTCCCCGAAGAATTGTCATCGCTACATACTTATAAATGATTTTCAGCTCTAAAAAAAAACTTCTTACGCACTGGGAAGATTAAATTAGCCGGGATGTGAGTGAAAGTTCATCATAAGAGAGCGCGTGTACAAATATCGTAAATAATTTACCGAGAGATAAGGGTGTTTATCGATATAACCGTATAAACCACAGAAGAAAGAAGAGATACTCGCGGTGGATAATGAATGACGCAATGGAAACTTAAACCGAACGTCATAGGCGATAAAAATAGCACGCGGTCAGGGGTTTAAAAGGGTAGGACAGGCGGAGGGGGAGGCATTTTAAGGAGTCCCTGAACCGAGATGGCTCTGGCTTCTCCGCATCCCTCAGCCCTCAGATTTATCCCGCTACGGCACTTCTTGAAGCTTTCAGCTGCAGAAGAAAAAAAACACGGCACTCATTCGAACATCCCGAAAATTATTACTGGACTTAAGATTAAGGGTCTAATCCTACTTGAGAGAACCCTGATAATCAAACGAACTAGCGAACAAACAAAAAAAGATCGCGTTAAGTTTAAAAGGCAAATCTTGGGGAAAAAAGAGAGAAAAACCTGTTAAAGTGTTTGCTCCAGAAAACCTTGTTTGGATTCTCCTTTTTTTTTGAAAAAAAAAAGGAGAAAAGGAAAAAAAAATTGTCACTGGAGGTTTAATTTAAGTTACAGAATTGTTAAAAAAAAAATCCTAAAAGACTTGCTGTAGTTTTTTAACACTATAAACTTGTTCGAAAAAATGTTAAAAGAACTTTAAAAAATAGCAATTTTTTCAAGACTCTCTTCCGCAAATTTTACTGAAACGAATAATGCAAAAATGTTTCCTAAAAAATAATTTTGAGCAGTTTTTTAAGGATTTCTGAAAATTGCTATTTACAGATCATTGCGGACAGAGATTATTTTAGGGGCTTGGAAGATAAGGTGCATACTTAAGTGCATTCTTTTTTCTATTTCAAAAAAACCTGTTTCGAAATTCGAAATTCCATGGATCCTTATGTTGGAAAAAAAGTTCACACAGACTTTTTGATGCTTAAAATTGGAATTTGGGAGCACATTTTTCGCAGCATATGCATTCAGATTAGTTTAACTTGAAATCATTAACGCCTCGAATTTTTCAAAAACTGCACTTGTGCGCCTTGTCCTCCAAGTCCCACATTTCTGGGTCATTGAAGAAACAACGTATGTGCCACAACATCTCCCAATGCAGATGAGCGTTTCAACGGATGAGCCAGGAACGGTGATTCGTTGTTTCAAAATTTAGTCCACTTGGCTTGGCTCTCTGAATGAAGGGGTTGCGCGGTGGCATAAGCGAGGGACAGAAGGAAGGGTTTCTCGCGGGCTAGACCTACGTGACAGGGAAGCGCCAGCCAATGGAGGATACAATAACCCCGTCATCCCGGCTTTGCTAGCAACTTCACACCTATTGCTTTGATTCCAGGAACAGGTCCAGAGCCACTATTTCTTCTGTCACACGACTATTCTTATCCCTACTTTACATTTAAATGTTCGTCTGTCCCCGTTGCACAATGCAACTGTGGGTGATGGCAATTTCATGCTGCCCAAAAATGACAGCGAAATAAAGCCTCGTTCAGACGTGGGCTCTTGAGCGGTCAACGAGTCGCTTTTTTTGGCGTTTTTTTCTTTCCTTTTCCACGAATTTATTTTTTTCTTCCACTCAGCACATAGATCAAATTTTATTTCACGACAATATGTTGAATAAAATATTAAAAAAAAATCCGGGAAAAATCGTGTCACGAAAGGAGCTTGTAAAATTATTCGCAAATTTGTTTTCAATGAATTGATTGCTGTCATAAAAATTCGAATTCCGGTTCTCAGGACTCCTTAACTTCTCGGGAGCGTTTTCGATAACTACGAAATTTTTTGAAATTGACAGCAGAAATTTTGAATGTTGCAAACTTTGAGCCAGACTTTGGTCGAGAAGAGGTATTTAGAGGTGATACTGAATAACCTTCTTTTTTCGCTCAGATTAGCAACCGTGGTTTCGTAACACCAATTTTCCGGTGTAATTTGCCCGGTCCCCGAGGAGGATCATTTTTCGCGGTTAGTAGGAAATTTTTGTCACCTTGAAATATTTAATATACTTATTTTTTCCCCCATTTAGATCTCCCTCTGAGAAAATTTTGCTTCCTCTTGACGATACACCCCCTCCACCCTCATTATTGAGTGGACTTAAAAAACACCTTATCCAAATAGGTACCTTGTTCAGATCATTTTTAATTTCAGAATTTCAGCCACATGGTCTGACAAGGGAACAATAGGTATAGGTACCTATTCCTACCTATACGTATGCGTTTCTTTCGAGCCAACAGGGAGGAATAAATTTTGACAAGTTACATTGATATTGGAAACACCGACGTGTCAAGAAACAATAAAAAAAAAAAATACCATCAAATCGGTTGGTGAATCCAGCGACACCCCCCTCTCCCATCAGATTTTGTCTGGAGATGCCGAAGGATGATCAACATTAATGGATGAGATGGAAGAAAAAGTATAGAATTCTCCTGAAAAGTCTTTCTGTGTGCAGGTGAATTCAATTTTCACAATGACAGAAATCACTGAGAATTTGCAGGATCAGGAAGGAGGAAAACTCGTAGGTGTACCTAATTAAAAGGGCGAGAGCGTATGGGCTGGCACCGATTCAAAGAATTGTCAAATTAAGCGATTAAAAATAATGGAAGCTCGCAAATAATTCGTAATGAGTGAGATGATTTACAGAAAAATAATAGCAGTCAACGATATAAATTGACATGCTCAGTGACGGGCACAAATCGGATTTAAAAATAACGTAAACAGCGGCAAAACGAGGCTACGTGACTGAAGCGTGATAGTGGATGGCTGCAGAGGGCATTGAATAATAGGGTCTCTTCATTGACTTACCCCACGAGAAAACGGGACTGAAGCACAGGGCCAGTAGATGAGCTGCACAGAAAAACAATTTCATTCTCAGTTAAGAGCTAACACTTAAAAATTAAAAATTAACAACCGTTAAGAACTTCGCTAAAATGAGCACATAACATTGTTTCGTTCGATAAGAGAACACGCGTTTTCACCGCCGCGGTCACCGAGCTCTCCCGATAGCGTTCGCTTGCCAACTACAGAAATTTTACACACATGCGCGCGAGGAGCGCGAAGCGATTCAATTCAATTTTCAGTGATGCACGGCATTACATGCACCATACTGAGTGCCCGCAGTAGTAACAAGAGAACTGTCAAGTTGGCGCTCGGGGCATGAATGAATAGCACCAACGGTGCACGCTGAAAAGTTCCTACTGCCGTGAACGCCGTCGTAATTTTGTCGTGGGGTTTATAATCGGTCAAAGCAGTTTAGAAAATTGATTTAAACTTTAAACGAATAGAAATATATCTCATCGATACATTTTGCGTTTCAATAAAAACCAATATCGCTTTCTTACAGGCGAATTCGGTGGTTGACATTCGCGATTGCACGCTTGAGGTTACCCAACCTGATGTGTCAATGTCCACAAAAATACAGGAATGGTTGTTTGTGTTGCAGTGAAGTGCACTTTTTCTCCGGAATTTCCTTTCTTGCAGTGTCGACTTAAATCGGGTTTTGTTCGGTTTTATGAAAGTGACGAAGGATACACAGCTGCAATGCACGTATGTTTATCAAATGTAAGTTATGACAATTTCTGGGATCGCGAGTGTGTCTCAGACTCGTATCATGAATGCACTTGCTTCTCCAATGTGGTCTCATGAGGATGGCGTGTTCTGTTTACGTTGTAAGGGAGAATGAGGTCTCCTCGTGTCCATTTCTACTTTTCCAGCTAATATGACGGTCAAACCAAGATATTATTGGTGTCCATTCACAATGCCAACCTTAGCACTGTTCTCTAAACTTCTTATTCTGATTCACTCTGGTAACTTTGATCGAGTTTAGCTGTTCACCTACCTTTCATTCAGAATTAGAAGTCTGTAGAGAGTAACACTCATTGAGTGGCATTTAGCACTTCGAACAAGTAGCAAAGGAAATCTGACTGAATTTTATGAGATCTAGCAGGAATGCCAATGCTAACTGTAAAGGTAGAAATATCAGTATGGATGAAGCCTCTCCCACCAAAATCCGTATCATACGATCGATGTAGAGCTCTCAAATCAGCATCACATGGGGTCATATGACACTTGGTTCCCTCAAAGCTTGTTGGGCTGAAGATCTTTGAGGGTTATGTGACGCTACTTTGAGAGCTCTACTGTTATCGTTGAATACGGGCTCAAGAATTTCTGTATTGGAGCAATGTTAGGAACTAAGTACAGATACATGACTCCAAATGTATCTATTTGAACAAAAGAATATATGGAAGTTGTCTGTGAAATAGGTACTACCTAAAGCTAATTCCTTGGAAAAGACTGTCTTCTAGGTCTCGCCAACAAGAGTCGAGTAGTTTATTTTGGAAACTAAAGCTTGAGGAGTCACTTACAGTGGTTCCTAGTAAGTACGTTTGAAATGGAATAAATGACAAGACATTTATACAATGGGACTACCATGGACTCAGCTATGTTCTTTCGTGAAAGGTATATGTATCAACATAAACAGGGGGCATGAATAATGTAAATGCATAGATTTTCACTGATACTCGAGTTGATTTTATGTGCATTATTGCATTGTTAGCACCTAGAACAAAAATCTTAGTCTCACAAAGTTGTTCATGTCAAGCCCTGAATGTAAAATTCCAAAGTATCAGTATACAATAGTCTATTCAATTGAGTCTAGAGTAGCTGAAATCCAGTGACTGGGTATGAGCATTTGGTTTCAGAGGAGGTTGTTGATCCCGTGTTGAGACAAAAGATGAATTATATATTTGTAGCAACAGCAACACTCATCAAAGATGTCATTTGAATGGACGTTTTTAGTATTGAATTTTGTTGATTTTAAGCCAATCAAAGGCTGACCTTTTTCTCAACTTACTCTCAAGTATTCACAAAAAAACTCAAAAAGATGTATTGGTTGTTTTATTTTCAAAAACATGAGCGGAAATTTTTAAAAACTGCAATAGAGTTACATATTTTTTAACTCAGGTCATTGTTATCTCAGGAAGGCGTACTGTAAACTATATGGTAAAAATTCTTTAATCATTGATGATCTGTGGTCTGACACACATAGTGTGTCACAAGATCCAGATATATTTCTTTTTTGAAGAAAATCTAAACTTTGAATTTTATGTTTTAGGGTTTGATTGTGTCTGCAAAGGGACAGCAGTAAGTTTGCCAACTGCCATCATGGGGTAAGTTTTACTATTGTATTGAATTTTCTCTCTATGTTGCAAAATGCACCGAGGCATTCTTCATCCGAGCGGAAAGCAGTGTTTTTTTCTAGTTTTCATGCCAGTCAAAACGTACAAATATTTTTATTTCAAGTGCTAAAGTATATTATGTGTCATTCTTGACTGCAAAATATGATGGAATACAAAGAGATTGTCTCTGGTAGATTCTGGAAGGTAAGTTTTTTATTTATCACTGATAGAGAAACCCTCTAGGAATTGAATTCAAGATGATTTTTTGTTTAAAGGATGTCATTAAGGAGGGTATTTTGGCCCTAACTTTGGTCGAAAGTTGAAACAGCTTAGAATAATGTCATGTATGGTCAAATCGACTCTTAATCATCTACCCTGTGAGAACTTTGACCTTATTTGAGGTGTTTTTGAAAGGTTTTTGCCTGATTTACCAGGGCAAAGTAGTGAAGTTTTGCAGTTTTCTCAAATAATTGCTCATTTTCAGTCCTAAATTAGATTGTTTATGTATGAGCACAAGCGACTACCACTTTCTCCTTTAAATATGTTGTAATGGGTGTACTAAAGATTAACATATTCGCAAATGAAAGTGGTAGTCGCTTGTGCTCATACATGAGCAATCTAATTTAGGACCGAAAATGAGCAATTATTCAAGAAAACTGCAAAACTTCACAACTTTGCGCTGGTAAATCAGGCAAAGGTTTTTGCCTGATTTACCAGCAATGAATGACAATCACATAATGGAATCTTTTTAATGCAATATCTAGTCTGCCTTATTATTAGCTAAATTTTTAAGGAGCCTCAAACCGTTTGGTAGTTCTGGTGCCAGGAGTCTCCAATCAGTAAAAGCTCCTAGACCACTTCCAACATTTTTTAAGTCTAAATATGCAATTATCATAAAATAACATGCAATTATCCTAATCTCTTTGTTTTCCACTATCATAAAATGATAATATCATTGATTTGGAAGAGTATTGTCAAAAATCTGTCAAGAATTCACTTAATACAGAAAAGAGGAGGACAGAAAACGTCCTAACTTCTCTGTAAATGTCAGAAACCTAGAGCCTGTGCTTCTCGTGTGTGACCTGCAGGTGACTATCTATTCCAGGACAAGATCGTTGTTCCCTAAGATTGTTTCAGGATTTTTTCGAAGGACTTAAATGTTCAAACAGGACCTGGAAATGTAAAGAAGGTTGCAACTCAGAATTATTGACAAGGATTAACGTTCTTTATTTGAAGTCATCTCATCAACTTTGTACAACCTGGATCAAGATCTTACTGTGTGTCCATCATCATGACAACCCCAGGAGACGAGGCTATTCGGATTTCAGGTGAGTTGGTCTCTCAAATTCTGCTTCTGTTTTTCAGTATTTAACATACTTCTAAATTCCTCAGTTGTTTTACTTGAACGTTAGAAAAAGAAAGTAAAGAAGGAGTGAAAAATTTCACAAATTTGATAGGAAAGGAAATTCAGCCCATTGTTTCCATGGAGCAGAAGTGGGGCGGAGACTGAAGAAAAACAGGAATGCAGCATGTGGCGGAAGGCCTGGGAATACCTGATTTCATCATTAAATTCTCTGATGGTTTCAGTGTAGAAAGAGAATTCACTGCCAGCTTTTCTTTCTTTCTTCGATGATTGAGGTTTTTAGAGTTTTTGGTATTCTACATTTTTTGGAAAATCTGAATAGCCTCCCTCAGGCAACTTTTTGTACTGACACCTAGACAAATTTGGCAGAAATGATAGCTTTTCTTGTGATTTAAGAATGTTCATTTATAGGACAATAGTGCGATCAGGGCTTTTCACCATCAGAAAGATCACTAATATTGGTGTGCCAGGAGGAAGACTTGAAAAACAGGAAAGGGGGAAACATGAAATTTTGTAGTGAATACTGCCGTGCTAAGGAAGAACACCGTATGAACATTCTAGAGTTGCCAAATTTCTCTTGACGAAACATGTATTTTTGACGACATATATGCAAATTTTTCTTCGAAATTTTCATCTGTTTTAGATGAAATTGCGAACAAAATTGCCTGAAAATTTTGGCAAATAATATTCATAATTGTCTGAAAGAATTTGTTTTTTATCGAAAGAAATTTGGCAACGTCTGAAGGCTCATACGGCGTTCTTCCCTAGCACGGCAGAAAACTAGTCCTTTACAATAATGACAACGTTTAGTACCCTGAATGGTGTCAATCTGATGTATACTGGTGTATACCGAAAGATCCTAGTAAGCCCAGAGACCATGTAGAAAAGATTATGGAAACGAGATTTGGAACATAATGAGCCCTGTATTGCTTATGCTCAAGGGTAAAATTTTGAAAGAGCCATTTTCGCTGAAGTACTTCTATGAGTCAAATTTTGAAGCAAGCTAATTTAGGAAAACGATCTACCATGAGGTCTGTTGGGGTAGCAGTGTGGGTGCGGACACATAGTGGGAGGGGGCTGGGAGGTTTCTCTCCTCAGAAAGGTCTGGAGGGTCCTCAGCTCTTCACCCATTAAAATTTTGAAAATCATGTACCTTTGAACGTAATTTTTGGTTGTTTTCATGATGAAATATCACCATAATTTTAAGGTAGAGAGGAAATCTTCAGAAACATTTTTTTAGGGGGAGGGCGCCACCCGCCCCCCTCGCTCCGCACTCGCTTCACCACTGGTCTCCAATGCATGGTTTTCGGTCTGATGGGTGGGTGGATGGGGGGGGGGGGGGGGGGGGGGGGTATAAATTTAATACGAATTCTTGCACATGAAACATTTTAAGTGGCTGCACTTCTTTGTTACATTTGAGTGATTAAACGGTCGCGCGCTCTAGCTGTAGGACACTCAACAAGTCTGACGAATATAGTTTTCAGAATGCTCGCT